GTAATTGGTCTAATCGGGGTTTTGCCGCTTTGTGGGGTCTTATTTTCATGTTTTCTCAGCGTCTTTAGATCCGAAAACAAAAACGTTCCTCAATTATATGGAAGGCCACCGCTTGCTGTGACCTCGTCTAAGATCATCTAAAAAAGAGTCCTCCTTCATTACCTGTGATGACTGAATGTCATGATTTCACAGCGCCTTTCATAGTCATACAAAAGTAGGCTTCTCAATTATGTACAGGGTCGCGAAGCCAACATCTGCGGCCCCGTCTAAGATAACCGAAAAGCCACCTTCGTTAGCGGAAACGTGGGTGGTGCCGGCCGTCGGCCCAGCGGCAGAGCGTGCCCCGCCTGACCCCGCTCGACTGTGGCCGCCGGTCCCAGTCCGGCCCTCTGCGGCCGGCGGGCGCGGCCGCCACGCGCCGCCCAGAGATGCACGGGTCGGCCATATTTGGCGCCGGGCCGAGCGGCCAACCGTCCAGCCCGGCCGCCGCCGCCGCCGCGCCGCCCGCCCGCCCGCCCGCCCGCCCGCCCTGCGCTGCACGGCGCCGCGCTAGCCGGCTGGCCGGGCGGTCGGCGCGGCGTCGGAGTCGCGGCTTCGTAGGGAAGCCCTGGTCGCGCCCAGGCACGGCTTCCTTGCGTATGGAGCTGCGCCGGGGGACGGCCACCCGCCGCCCGGCCGACGGCGAGCGGCGGGTGGCCGACGGTCAGGCGTGGGACGGCCCAGACGTCCGACGGCCGGACAGGGGGTCGACGGGCGTGGAGGTGTGTAGACGATAACGGCGCGAGAGGCAGGTCGTGAAGCCCGAAGATAGAAAGGCGGAGAGAGAGGCGGAACGAAAGTCTCCAGAAACGAGAGTGATCGAAGCCAGGTGACGCACCTACGTTGTGAGCAGTCGGATATGCAGGCGTCTTCACTAAGCTGCCCGGCGGTGACATGTCGCGGTATTACCCCGTCACACCCGAGGCGACCCGTCTCGAACGCCCCGGCGCCGGCGACCGCTTCTCATTTCGAGGCCGCCGGCGGTCAGCTGGCTGCGGCCGGCCGACCTCCGGCGACCCTAACTGTACCGGCCGGCGCCGGGCGGCAGCGCTCCGCTCGTGTGACCCGCCACGGGGCGTGGTCTCGGGCACTTGGGCCGCTACCTGACTCCCCCGAACTGAGGCTTGCATTGGTTGGGTGGGCCTGGCAGACGGAGAAGGTTGAGAGCCGCGGCATCTGGATGTGCCGCATTCGCAGCGGGAGTCTTGGCTGCACTTCTGGCCGGCTCCACAGCCTGACGGTGACCCGATCTGGCCGGAGACCGTAGACCCGACCTGTCCTGGTAGTGGTGCGTTCTTGACAGTGACCTGTCGGACGGCGTGCCTGTCGCAGATCCAGCTGACCTGGGAACATTCTCGGCATGACTCAGATCCGTGCTGGGTCGGGCTGGGCGTGGCCGTAATCCTGAAACGTCCGAGCCTCATTCTCCATAAATCAATGGGAGCCCCTGCCTTACTTCGGAGTGAGCCCATTCCTTACCTATGATGTCACAACCCAAGCCCATCTCCGACTCGGCCGAGAGGCGAAGTGTGTGTTTGTTTATGAGCGAGTCGTTGGTGCTGACGTAGCAACGCATAGCAACGGTTGATGCGGTGTTGGCGGCCTTGTATATCCAGCAAACAGGCAGGTCTCGATCGCATGTGGGAGGTGTGATCTATAATGATGTATGTAGCTACATATCACATGCAAATAACTGAATGGCATTCCAATGCGCCATTGCTGCGCGCTACAGGTCTTCGAGGGCTTGGATCAGCCGATTCTACTTGTGCCCCATATTTGGAATAGGGGCGTTCCCCATTGGCGTGTATCTGTGATAGTACCTCAATTGTCGGAACTCGGGGCGTATGCCAGTGAGGAACCGGGCTTTGGGGACGTCTTCACTTGCATGAGTTGTAGGTCCGACCTGTGGCGGTGCTGTGCCACGGATCGAGCCTGTTGGGCACCTCACCGGCCTGGGGTCGAGCGTGCCCCGGCTGGGTACTGCACCTGTGCCAACTGTCCTCATTGGACTCATCGCTCAGTCGGGCGGCGCCGACTGTGGGGTGGCCGGGCAGCCCAGGCTGGTACAGCTGGCTTGCTGGATGACTTGCCAGCTCACTGACTGTTTCGCTGGCTAACTCGCTGCCTAACTCGCTGGCTGGCTGACTGGGGTGCCGGCTGGTGTAACGAATCGTCATGGCTTAAACACGTCAGGCGTTCTTGTTATGTAAAGACGCAACAGTCAGCACCGACCGTGGCGCGTCGAGTTCACATATGGATGTAAATATTGGCGTGATTTAGGACAGGCCTCGTGACACTTGCCCGTGTCGTGCATGGGGCGGTAATGCAGCCGTGTGTTGGGCTCGGCGCCGCGGGCGGGGACCGATGGCGTCCGGTGGCCCGCTGGTGGAGCGTGGCCCGTAACTAACACCGAGGCCGTCGGGCGAGCCGACACCGGGCCCTGGACGGCTGGCGCCCCGACGCCGAGAGCCGGAGGCCGGGCCGTGACCGGCACTGTCGCCGGGAGGGGTGCGGCGGCGCCGGCCAGCCGGCGGTGGGGTGACGCGACGCCGGGCGTGGCCGGCACCAGCCTCGGCCTCCGACCCGGCTGGGAGCGGCGCCGCTGGACGGAGACGCGGCCGCCCGGCCTCCGTCCGAGCCAGCGCCCCCGTCCTGGCGCGTCGGCCGCCGGGACTGGGGCGTGCAGAAGAGTGTTCGGTGCCCTCTGGCTTGTCGAGACCGCGGCCCGCCGCCCGGGTCACCCCGGCGATCTTGATCGGTGACTGGTCTCGATGACGAAGTGAAAGGAGAGCGAGGCTGTGGGTGCAGCGGCTGACGCATCACCCCGACGAGCTGTCGCTCCCAGTCTCACCCGTCGCACCCCGGCTCCTCCCCTCCCCTTCCCTGCTCCTCCCAGTGGGGAGATGGCGCAGCGCGATGCTCCATGACTTGTGGATGGTGAATGCCGTTCTGGTCCCGCTGTCGCCATTGTGGACACGTGTTTTCCTTCGCCTTCAGTTCTGCAGAGGTCTGACGGGACGGTAATGGGCTTTGTGCCAAGTCTGTCAACAATGGCTGTGGCCTTGAAGCCACACGAAAAAGTCATCAGCCGGAAGGTTACGCATAATGCTGGTGGCAGAGCATGTCATCAACGCTCGCCGGCTCAATACGCACCGAATGCGGACAATATTTATTTTTGGTCACATTCACACGTGGATCGCATACTGTAAAGAGCGGCATTTTTTCGACGCTTTCGAGCGGTCGTGCATGACAGCTCTAGTGATTCTCACCTGCATTGCTAGTGTTAACATTTTAACGATTGATTTCCGGACATTTTTGCTCGGGTTGGTGTCGCGTAAATAACGTCTGCGTTATGTCATGCCTTCCAAAAATGCGCGCCGGCCACAGCCTTGCCTGCTGTCTGAGCCCCTACCCCTGCTGCACGGGATCTCGGTGCTCGCCGCCGTCTGAACACTGGGGCCGTGGGCGCTGGCAGCCGGCCGGCCGGATGACCGGTGACGTCAGACGGGGTGCGCCGCCGGCCCGGTCCGGCCGGCTCGAGCTGCCGCTGCCAGCCAGCTGTGCGCGCAGACCGCCAGCCCAGCCGACTCCAGTCAGCCGCCCCAGGCGGGGCGCCGGTCGCACACCGGCGGCAGCAGACCCTTCCATATTTGCTAAGCGCAGTACGCGTGCTCTTTGCGGTCCGCCATGGCTCCGTGTCCGCTGAGTTGGAGCCCCCGCTGCGGATGGGGCGCTAGAAGGCGTCGCCGTGTGCCGGGCGGTGGTGGCGCCGGGGCGTGCTGTGTCGGTCGGCCGGCCGCCCCGGCCCATGCTGGTCTTCCCGCTGCGGCCCGGCTAGTGGCCGTGTTTGGCGTGGTGCTCCGCTCTCGGCGGCCGGCGCCGGCAGCCGGACGACAGGCGCGCCCGGTTCCCAGAACGGTCCGCGCGGTGCGCACTCAGCATATCATGACGTGTGCCGTCAGGCAGGCAGGCCGGAACGACTGCCGACTGCCGGCTGACGGCCCCCGCCGGCTCAGCGTAAGCGGCCGCGGTGGGAGCTCTGTCCGCCGCCTGCACTCGCCACGGCCACCGCCCTCGAGCTCACGCCGGCGCTGGCTCTGGCCGTGGCTCGGGCTTTCTCGGCGGCGCCGTGCCGGTGCACCGGTGCCGGACACGGCACTGGCGTTGCTGTTGCGCCACCACCAGTGCCGTCGGGCGCTGGGCTCAGGTTCGCGGCGCGCGCCAGATTGATTACGACGCCGGCCGGAACCCGAGCGGCGGGGCCGCCCGGCCGTGAGAGCGGGCCCGGCGCGCGGCGACACCGCCCGCCGCCGCCGCCGCCGCCGCCGGCCGCGGCTGATGACCCGGCGTTGGTCGTTGCCAAGGTTACGGCGCTGACGCATGGCCGGTGATCCACAGAGGCGGCGGCAGCGGGGGTGGTGCGGGCGCGGACAAGGACAAGGCCGGGCCGCGCGGCCACCAGCGCTGCCCCGCCCCCACGTCCCACCCCGGCCACCGTCGCGAGTCGACCCAGCTCGGCTGCAGGCCGCTAGCCGGACGCGGGTGGACGTCCCGTTCGAACGCCGTTCCACGCCCGCCACCCGCCAGCAGCCGCTCCACGTTTTGGCAGGCTTTGGAAACGGTCCACGCTCGAGTCTTGTTTGTCGACGCTGATGGCTCACCGGAAGCTGGCCGGCGGTGGGCGCTGCGCGGCAGGCGAGTCGACGTGGGGCCGGCGGCTGCGCCAGGCGGCCGGCCAGACGTCCACCGCCGCCGGCTGTCGGCCGAGGTCGGGCCGGCCGGCCGAACTGGCCGGCGCGCGGACCGTGACCGTCTGTGACCGTGCATCCGACCGGCCGTCGCGAGTTTGGCGGTCCGGCGGCGGCCGACCGCGCGCGCCCCGGCTACGGCCGGCCTGCTGCGCGCGCGCCGTCGCCGCGGTGGAGGCGCTGTCTCTGAGCGTGTGTCTGCTCTGTTTCCAGAGGTCAGACTCCGGCTCAGGCGGAGACCAACTTCCTGAACATCGTCAAGTGGCTGGAGATGTACGGCGTCGACATGCACACCGTGCTGGTGAGTTGCTGCCGGCTGAATCTGCGTGACGGGCGTGTCTGATGTGCATCGTATCGTCAAGGGTTTGTAATGTTTTGTCGAAAAAAGACTAGCGCTAGACGTGCCCCGGAATGGCGTTCACTTGGAGTGAGCTGTGAGTAAGATGTAGCCCCGTATTTCGCGAGACCGTCATGTTTCCTGTTTGGGAATGTGCAGTTCATACGTGTTTGTCTTCAAATCATGCACATCTGATACGCATGCCTCATAGCATGTTGCTGATAGCAAACAGCGTGTTTCGCTTTGCTGTCAGAATGGTCACCAGTGAAGCATGCGCAGGGCTTTGACGAAGGCCCGCCGGTGACCGGTCGTGCCGGCCGCCGCCGTGACACGCCCGGTCGCCGGCGCCGGTGTCGGGCTCAGGGGACGCCCGTCAGCCGGCCGGAGCGGGTGGCCCGGCGGGCTGGACGAGCAGGCGGGCGCCGCCCACACTCGACGCCACAGGTCAACCGCTGCTTGAAGCCGCGTCGGTCGGGGCGGCGCAGCGTGTGGCGTGGGTGGCGCGCCGGGGCGGCGCGGTAGTCATCTGGGTCGAGGGCCGGGTCTGAGTGACGCCCGGCTCCCGCTGTCGCCAGGGCAAGGACATGTCGGAGTACTCGCTGGGTCTCACGCCCACCGGCATCCTCGTGTTCGAGGGCCAACAGAAGATCGGCCTCTTCTTCTGGTGAGCTCTCACCCGACGCCAGAAAGAGGGTGGCGTCTGTTTTGAGAAGTGGCCGGCCTTTGGGTGTTAACGCGTGCGGTGCAAACATCTGTCCACTGTTTGTGTCGTCTGCTTCACTGCTTATTCTTCCCCGTCGCCGTCTGTGTGCCCGTCCCACATGTTCTTTATTGTCGTGTGCCTGCTGTGTCGGTCTGCCTGCCTGTCCGTGTCTATCCGTCTGAGGCATCAGTCAGTGGCTGCCGATCCCACGGGCCACGTGCTCTCTGTCTGGACGCTGGTCGGCCGTGCTCGGCCGCGCGAAGCGGCGACAGGGCACAGTGGTCTGTCCGAGTCGTGACTGTCTCCGGCCGCCCGCTGCCGATCGCCACTGAGATACGGGGCGAGGCGTCGGCAATGGGCGCCGCGGCTTGTCGGGCCGCCGCTGGTCGGCTTGGCGGCGCGCCGGTCCGTGTCACGTCGGTGTCGCATGCCACCACCGATGACGTGTCGGCCCCACCGCGTGCCACCGCTGGCGTGTCGGCCCCACCGCGTGCCACCGCTGACGTGTCGGCCCCACCGCGTGCCACCGCTGGCGTGTCGGCCCCACCGCGTGCCACCTCTGGCATTTCGGTCTTAACCGATACTCCGGTCTGTCTTGTGAAACCGCATTTTGCATGTGTCGTGGACTGAAACTCCAAGATGCAAGATGGCCAACAGCACGGGAGGCACACTGCCGAAGCAGCTGAACACGGGGCCGGGTTTGTTGCGCGTATAGAGGATGCTGCAGCCAGGTGGTGATAACAGAGAAAGGATCCCTGCGCTGTTGCGTGTCGCAAACGGTTTACGGGGGTCCGTGCTCGTCAGTTTGCCGTCTCAGTTGTGTGCGTGTCGCTCTGACTGACGAGCTCCACGCGTCGCAGGCCCAAGATCAATCGGCTCGACTTCAAGAAGAAGAAGCTGACGCTGGTGGTGGTGGAGGACGATGACGAGGGGCCGCGAGCAGGAGCACACCTTTGTCTTCAGGTGGGCGGCGGGGTTGTGTTGTGACCGGCTGGTGTGGCTCGTCGGTGACCCGGGGCGGGACAGACGACGCAGCTGGAGGGGAAGGGCGGGGCGCCGGCTGCCGCTGCTCTCCCCTGCCACGGAACGGCGCCGGCTGGTGCCGTCCGCTTTCCCGGGCTGGGACGGGCCGTCGCTGCCGGCGGCCTCGATCACGGCCAGCCCGGCCGCTGTGTTGTCGCAGGCAGTGGCCGCGCGGTCGTGTCACATGCTCGAATGGACAAGGGAGCGGGACAAACTGCGTGAGGGCGGGCGTGGGCGCGTGACGAAGATTACGACTGTCAACATCCGACGTTGGAGAAACGGCAACGTCCGAGCGACAGGCCTTCCCGCGCTCGCCGATCGTTTGGCGAGAGGACCGGGGCTGTGCGGCCCGCTGTGACGGTGGTGTACGATTTCCTGCTCTGTCCGTCCCGCAGCCAATGCCAGTGCGTGTTGTTGGGCCCTCGCTGGCAGCATAGGCTTCAGACGTAGACGCTGGCATCCCGTCAACGTGCATGGTATCGGTCTCGCTCTGGCGCGTCTGAATGCGTCGGACGCAACAGGTTCACCGTACGCGGCGGAGACGGCTTCCGCTCTGATGGCTGCCGCCGGCTGGTGCCACCGATGGCTGACGGATTCACTGCACGCCTTGCGTGCTGTTGTAGTCGGATGTTTTGGATCGTGCGGCTCTGGGCGCGTCTCCTGGCTTGCCGGGAGTGGTTGGTGGCTGCGGCACGATTTCATTACGACCGTCACCCGCTCTCGTTTCCAGGCTGTACAACAATAAGGCCGCCAAGCACCTGTGGAAGTGCGCCATCGAGCACCATGCTTTCTTCCGGCTGAAGGCGTCCACCAAGGCGCCCGAGCGCGCGCCCAGAACTTCTTCCGGATGGGCTCTCAGGTTCCGCGTTACAGGTGAGCCGGGTTGGGGCGCCGACTCGCCGACCGGCCGGCCCCGGGCCGGGGCCGCCGGCCGTCCTCTGCGGCCCCCACCCAGTCCATCTGCTGCCACGGCCTGATGGCAAGTCGACACTGGTTTTTAGTCGGGTCGAAGCTCCTGGACGGAGACGTTTGCCGGGTGACCCGTTTCAGGCGTTATAGTGGTCCAGAATGTTTCAACTTGGACACAGTAATTAGCTTGCCCCCCCCCCCCGCGTGTTGTGTCTCGATGTCATGAATTTGAGCAGTAGGACGTGTCAACGAAAGCGAACTTGTGGTGTCGAGGCTTGTGCCTTGATTCGCTTCCATTCAGGCTTGTTTCGTGCGTGCATCTGTCCCGTGTGCCCGGCCGAGTCGTCCGTATCCCGGTGGCCAAAACCCGGCCGTGTCTTGCGATGCCACCGGCCGGCTGGCATCCGTCTAAACGGATCCGGCGTCGACAGCGGCCGCACCGAGTACCAGACGACGTACCAGGGCCGGGCGCGACGCACAGTGCAGTTCGAGCGGCGGCCCAGCCGGCGCTACAGCGTGCGCGAGTCGCACATGATCCGCCAGCGGCTGAAGCAGGACGTCGGCAAAACGGAGCGAGCCGCGGCCGGCGGCGACGACGGCGGTCAGCAGAAACAGGCGGCCGCCGGCGCCGGCGGCGGCACACTGCCGAGGCCGGCGGCGGCCGCCGGTCAGACTAAGCAGACCAACGGCACCGGCGGCGCCCAGACGGCGCCGGCCGCCGGCGGCGGCGGTACGCTGACCAAGATGGCCAACAGCACGGGAGGCACACTGCCGAAGCAGCTGAACACGGCTGCGGCCGCCGCGCAGAAGTCAGGTAGGCGCGGACAGCCGGCCGGCGCTTGTGGTCCGGGGCGGGTGGCGGTTAGGCACCCCTGCTTGTTGGCCTGTGGCGACTGTATGGCAGGCGCTACCACATAGTTTGCGTTCATAACCGTGCATTGAAAGGCTCATTCGCCCGGGGAATTTCATCATCAAAGTTATTCTGCTGTCTGCTGCATTAAAGTTGTAAGCTTGATTCCCGCTGCCTGGTGTTCAACAATGCTCTTAGCATCAGTAACGTAGCATCAGCTCTGTCAGTCTTGTGGCGTCAATTCTGATGCTATTGTACTCATCTGGAAGTTGCCGATGCTGTCCTTGTATGCTGACTGCCTGGCAGCCACGTGTCCGGGCAGATGTACACAGCAGCCCTCTCCCTTGGCGTCGCGTCATCCATACTGCGTGCTCGCCGAGGTAATGAAGGCGGCTGACGAGTTAAGTGCAGCATCTACATGGCTATCGCTCGACCGCCTGTGAATCACTCCGTGCACCAGAGAATCGAGCTCCTTCTCTGGCTGTTTTGATGGCGCCCACGAGCGGAGAGGCCGCTGGCTGAGCTTCGGCTGCCTGCCGACAGGCGGCGCCGAGGCGCGGCAGGCGACGCCGGCCGAGACCAGCCAGCTGGACGCCCTCATCTCGAGTCTGCAGCGTGAGGGCGAGGCCGCGCCGACACTGGCAGACGCCACCGACGGCTCGCCGGCCGGCACCGGCGGCGCAGGTGAGGAGAGCCGGCCGGCGCCCGTGAGGTGCCGCTCATGTGTCGCGGCGAGACACCCCCACTGGCGCGCCATCGGGCTGACGCCGAGCTGAACTGGACGTCCTCCCTGCCAGTGGGCACGGGCTCAGTGTTT